CAACGCGAGGCGTCCAATACTTATTAGTTCTAACGGACTATTTTTCCAAATGGATCGAAGCTGATGTGGTAAAGACATTCTTGTGGAAACACATTATTTGTCGCCATGGAGTTCCTTAAGAAATTATAACGGACAATGGTCCACAGTTCATTTCAAATGAATTTGAAGATTTTTGTTCCTCTTGGGGGATAAAACTTAGCTATTCAACGCCGAGGTATCCTCAAGGAAATGGACAAGCGGAAGCTTCCAATAAAACCATTCTCAGCTATCTTAAGAAACGTTTGAATGCTCGAAAAGGTGGTTGGTATGACAAGCTGCAACCTGTGTTGGGCATATCGAACAACCCCGAGACGAGCAACGGGAGAAAATCCATTCTCATTAGTATATGGGATGGAAGCAGTAGTCCCAGCCGAGCTAAATGTTCCCGGTTTACGCCGGAGCAACCCGACATGTTTCCGTACTCCTGGAGTCCTATCTCGATCCAATCGGAAGGATGGGCTTCGAGGCGATGAAGCTCGCGAGCAATATCGAGGCGACGCTTCTCTAGTTCGATTCTCTTTTTTCTAATCTCTTTTTTCTCATCTTCGAGCTCGTTATGCCGAGTAATAAGCTGGAGAAAACAAAACGCTTCGTTTAACAAATAACGAAAGGAGTCAAGTTACTAGGTTGAACAATACCTTGTTAATAAACTCTTTAGCCTTGACACTATCTTGAGCTGATAATCTCTCGATTAACACATTTGGAACCTGAATGCTGGTTCCCCACCCTAATGGGCGTGACTCTTCTGGTTTGTCGGTTGCTTCCGTTTTTACAAGCTCGATGTCTGACGTTTCCGGAAGATCATCGCTTATCTTTTTAAACGAGTCGGAGGGATTCTCTGAAGAATTACCTTCTGATATGTCTATATTTTACTTGTTTTGAACATTCATTTGTCGTCACTTTAGCATCATTTCACCACTGTCTCATACCATTTCTCATCACTTGTCATCACTTTACATGTTTAGGATAGATTTGCATGCATGTTGCATATTTGAGTTGTTTTCAGGTGATTTGGAGCTGTTGGCGAGCAGATTGGGAGAAGCAGAGCAAAACCAACACTATCACTCGACCTGCACAGTCGAGCACTCTCAGCAGCCAGCCTCTCAAGATCACTCGACCACATCTTCTCATCACCAAGTGAACTGCACGGTCGAGCATCACCAGCAGACTCTTCAGATCACCACTCAACCACAGCTTCAACCGAACAACTCGACTGACCACTCGACCTCGTGGTCGAGCACCCTCTTCTTCAGCCACTCGACCAGATCTTCGATCTCCACTCCCAGCAGCCACTCGACCACATAACTCGACCCAAGTGCTCGATTACATCATGACCAGAGCAAGAAACCGCAAAGGCGCCAATTTTACTTGACCTCTCTACTCGATTTCATGAAGCCGAGTGTCTCTGTAAACCGCCTTAATACTTTGTCGTTTTGTAATTTAGGGTTTCCTAGGATTTACTATAAATAGGTTGTTTCTCTTAATTTTCTAAACTAAGTTTTATTCTGCAGAACAATTAGTGTATTCTTCATCTTTGTAATCCAGATTTCTCTTAATCTATTGAGTATTTGCTTTTGATTTCTTCTACAAAGTTGTTCATCTTGTTAAGATCTTGCTATCATGAAGTTTTTGTGCATTTCTGGGTTTATGTTCTTGGTCATGAATTTTGAGTAGTGATTAGGGTTCTTGAGGATGGGTTAGAGTAGTTTAGAATCCTTGATCTGCTAGGTGGTTGAGTTTGATCGGTAGATCCCTTCTGGATTAGTTGTTCTTAATGCCAATTTCTTTCTGATCAACTGGAATTTGAGCCCAGACATTTTCGCACCCAAAAGGTGTTCGATGAAATGTCTGAACCACTAATTCCAGAGATTCGTGGCTCTGTACCCAGGTATTGGTTACAGAGAGCGTTTTGACTTTAACTTGTTGATTCGTAATGCCTGTTAGGTTAGCTCTCGTTAATTGTGATTGAGTCTGGGACTATCTTTGCTTGAGGATCTCTGTTGCGGTAGCACTTTGATTTGGTTATTGAACTTGTTGTTTAGGGATAGTTTGTTGAGCATGTTAACCACCTATTAGATTAAGGAGACTTCACTACTCGATTATCCCATCCTCGAGAATTTTTCTTCCAATTGATTTCTTTGTTTACATCGCTATTGATTGCTTGATCTTGTTACTTGTTGCTTTGTTTTTTGCATTTCTACTTATTTCATTTAAAGTACTCGACCAAACACAGTGGTTTGGAAACGGACTATGTGGTAGAGTACATTTGTTGCAGTTTCTGTTTGGTATTCGACCTGATACTCGACCACATCCAGTGTTTGGCATCAAGCTGTGTGATCGAGTATATTGCCTATTTCTATTAGAATTTCTGTTTTTGCATGATCACCTAGGATTGTTAGAAACACCAAAACCTGTTATTGCTTGGCTTGACTCTGTGATATCTGATTGCATCTTGATTGTTAGCATCGCACCCATTTGGATTGACACCTTAAATACTGCAATGACATGATAGTACTTTAAGAATAATTGATCTTAATTAAAATCCTACTATCAATTTGGCGCCGTTGCCGTTTGGGTGTTTGTTTGTTACATTTGAGATTTCAGACTTGCTTAGATCAAGTTCTATTTCAATTTTCACTTAGGTTACTAACTTTGTGTTTTTCTTGTTGTCTTCTTGATCCAGGTACAACCCTGCTGTATGCAAACTCGATCAAAAGGCAACCAGAACCTCCTTTTCAACGATAACATTGACCGTATTAACAGAGAACTAAGGGAAAGGAGAGACACTACAGACCTTGAACACAACCATCCTTTCAGAATGGCTGATGAACAAGATGTCAACAATCTGCCTGCAAACATTGGTGCTGGAGATGTACCAAGAAACCACCATCAGATGCAAGGGATTGTGCCTCCTGCTGTCCAAAACAACAACTTCGAGATTAAAAGTGGTCTCATCTCAATGATTCAGGGAAACAAGTTCCATGGTCTGCCTATGGAAGACCCACTCGACCACTTAGACGAATTTGATAGGCTCTGCAGCCTAACAAAAATCAACGGAGTCAGTGAAGATGGATTCAAGCTCCGGTTGTTCCCATTCTCCTTGGGTGACAAAGCACACATCTGGGAAAAGAATCTTCCACCTGGATCCATCACATCCTGGGATGACTGCAAGAAGGCCTTTCTTACAAAATTCTTCTCCAACGCAAGGACTGCACGGCTATGGAATGAGATCTCTGGTTTCGCCCAAAAGAATGGAGAAAGCTTCTGTGAGGCCTAGGAGCGCTTCAAAAGTTACACCAATCAATGTCCTCATCATGGTTTCAGTAAAGCCTCAGTGCTCAGCATACTCTACAGAGGTGCTCTTCCACGGATCAGAATGCTTCTAGATACCGCGAGCAATGGAAATTTCCAAAACAAGGATGTTGCTGAAGGCTGGGAATTGGTTGAGAACTTAGCTCAGTCAGATGGTAATTACAACGAGGACTGCGACAGGACCAACAGAGGAACAGTTGACTCGGCTGATAAACACAAGAAAGAGATGGAGGCTCTTAATGAGAAATTGGATAAGATTCTCCTTGGCCAGCAGAAGCATGTGCACTTTCTAGTCGATGACGACCAGTATCAAGTCTGAGATGGGGAGGGGAACCAGTTAGAAGAGGTCAGCTACATCAACAATCAAGGTGGCTACAAAGGGTATAACAACTTCAAGACTAACAACCCCAACCTTTCTTACCGTAGCACCAACGTTGCTAATCCACATGATCAATTGTATCCTCCACAACAACAGCAGGGTCAGAATAAACCTTTTTTCCCTACAACCAAGGTTTG